AGATCTTCTACCAGGAAATTCTCTGTTACATAATCATTGTACATTTTGAACTCAGGCAGGTAAGTACGCACTTTATCCCGCCAGTTCAGTTTACCCTCATCTATTAAAATTGACAATGCAGCCGTAGTAAATGCCTTGCTGTTGGAGGCGATCTGAAAATTGGTATGTTCATCCACCGGCAACTGGGTGGCAATTGATTTCACTCCATAGCCTTTTTCATATACTATTTTTCCATCTTTTACAATAGCCATTGCCACACCCGCCACATTAAACTGCTGCATTGATTTTTTCACCAGTGCGTCTATTTCCGCCGGACCAATCTGCGCAACTACCGGCACATTTGCCACCAGGAGGGAGGTTATTCCCAGAAGTACAAAAAAGACTTTTCTTTTCATGCGTCCATTTTTTATGTTTTACAAATTACCGGGGAAATAGTGTTCCGCCAGTTGAAACACCGTACCTACTGCTGGTAGCAGCATAAAAAATCGGCAAATATTATCGTCACCAGTTTATTGCTGAGAAGGTACTAAACCCAGTTGTGTCATGAAATCCATATTATCGAAAAAATCCCTTTCCCCAGCAATTTTACCGCCGACCATGCGTACAATGGTCTCAGCATCCAGGCTTATTTCTTTACCTGTTGCCGGGATACCGGAGAAAACCCCGGTATATTTTCCTTTAAAATTCCGTTGCTTTACCAGCTTATCCGCCTGAACAAAAATATTTTTGATGGTGAAATTGATATGGGAAAAACCAGTGAGATAATGGGCGTAACAAGCCCGGGCATTGTCTGCGCCTGCTACATCGGCGGGACTGGTATGCATCAGCACATCTTTGGCAAAATCGGAATCATCGAACAGCTCAAGCCTGCCTTTATTTATAATCTCATCCCATACATGGCTGTACATTTTAATATTGGCATCTTCCTGCTGGCATGCGGCCATCAGCAAACCTGCGGCCAGTGCCAGGGCGGTAAACTGGAACAGTTTTTTTTTCTTCACTAAAAGCTGTTTATAAAAGATGAATATGCAGAATTAGTTTACAAATAACTTAACCACCATTTTTCTTTGTGCGTTTGCTTATAGGTATCGTACCAGCGGCACAGGGGATACAATCCAATAACCACCGCGGCCCAGATAATATAGGCCACCGGTAATGAAAATCCGTATCCTTTTAAGTTCTGCGTAAACCATATCGGCTGCTGTAAAATCCAGCTATGCCAGTCCTGCCCGGGTATAAATACAGAAGCCAGCAATGCCACAAGATGAATGACGTAAATATGGACCAGGTAATAAAACATCGGTACCCGTCCATAGACTGAAATTGTTTTTACAATAACCCCTTTCATCTTCTCGGTAAATGCAAGGAATAAAAGTGCAGGCCCCAGTGTCATCAGCACATACAATAAGGAGGGCGGGTATTTATTTACTTTCAAAAAAGACAGGAACGTGTAGAATGGTTTTTGCTGGGTTGTCCATTTTACCGGGTCGCCATATAAATTGCTGTACCGCAGCACCAGGAACAGCAGCACAGCGCCTCCACCCGTAAGCAGTAAATTTTTTCTTCGTTTTGCCGCATCATAGTCAGCAGCATACCATTGCCCCATCAGGTAACCCAACGGCATTACGCCCAACCAGGGAATAAGCGGGTAACCTACCAGCAGTATTTCACTGTTCCAGCTAAAAAAATTCTGGTCATGCAACAGTGCCCAGCCAAAAGCAGGTAGTGTGTTTCCTTCAACATGCACATTGTCCAGGAGATTATGACCTGCCACCAGCACAATACAAAACAGCAGGATGATTTTTGCGGGCAGGTGTATAAGTCCCGCCAGCACAATCATACATATCCCCAGTGCCCAGATAGTGATGAACAGGAACATGGGGAAGGCAATATTAAAGTTCCACCCAAAATTCACCACAATCATTTCCAGGAAAACCAGCCAGATACCGCGTTTGAGCAGGAAAACAGATAACTCGCTTTTTGTTTTCTTCAGCCCTATCATGTACGCAGACACCCCTGCCAGCAACATAAAAATGGGTGCACAAAAATGCGTTATCCACCGGGTAAAAAACAAAGGGATACTGGTCTTTTCAAGATCAAGGGGATCGTAGAAAAATGAATCCCTGAGCAAATAATCTCTTACATGGTCAACTGCCATGATGATCATAATGATGCCCCTCAGGAAATCGATGGATTGAATTCTCGCTTTTACGGTGGTGGCCATTGGTGAAACAGGATTTTTAACAACTGAAATATATTATAAATAATGCATATTTCTTGCAGCAACTTAATAATTGCTGCGCCGGCAATACCCCACAGGAGAGATTTGCGAAGCAATAACAATGGTGTTAACAGCATTCTTTTCTTAACTGCTGCAGGTATTGCTGTTTTACAGGCTACCCGTTTTCTTTGCAGCATTGTG